CTGAGAAGCAAAACAACAGGTGGGGACCAGAAATGCCCCTGGGACGTGTCTTTAAGCCGAACTTCCTTATGGCAGAGCGCCCCCTCCCCGCACCCCACACACCCTGCCCATGACTCCTGTAGGCTCTCGAGTGAAGTGAAAGTGAAACCTAACTGTCTGCTGAGCTCTCAACATTAGTTCTCACTCATTGAAGCTCTTTTCAGATTAAAAATACCTTTGAGGAAATGTATTTTCAGATGCCAAGTAAACTATGTACATCATAGCAGCCTATCCCCCCCCCCACCGAAATGGGCAAAACGGAAGCGGAAGGAGGTTCTTAAAGAGACAGAGGCCAATTTCAAGGTGTTTAGAAGAGCAAGTGATGAGAAGATAAGTTTATTTTCTATTTAAACAAAAAACACATTTTAATAACAGCTAAAGGTGACATAGATACTTTATTATGGTATAGTATTTAAATATATGCCTGAGAAACACACCACCGAATACCTGCCAACATTTAACGAGCAGCTGTACAGGGACACAGTTCTAGGAGGGTCCAGGGGTATACTCACATGGAATTTTTTTTTAAAGATTTACTCAAAACAATGCATTTTCCAGCCATTTGAAGAGCATTTTACTAAATTCTTGAGATTATTGAAACAACATAAATCAATATTTGACTGATTGATTGATTGATTGATAATACTTTATTGATCCCAAGGGGAAATTACAGTTCAGAACACCCGTTCACAAGACAAAACATAAACAAGCAAACATGGGAGAACAAGTTCCCCCAGGTCTTGCAGCCATAGACCCTGCACAGGGAAAGGATCATCATCATAAAAGAGCATCATGAGTAGGCGCTACCTTTAACAGCTGGAAAAACACAATAGGAAAGTTGAGTTAAAAACATTGCTCTGATCCTATATGTTTACATCAGAAACATAAGATCATATGCACAAAAAAACCACTCACGATAGGCTGGGGACACAAACAAAAACACATTTGCCGGTGGAGAAGGTGTAGTGGTGGTCTTTGTGAAGTGTGTGTGTGTACATGCGTGCAATGTAATGTGAGCCTGTGCACCATGGCCTGGGTAACATTCTGCCATTGTCCTGACAGATGGAATAAAGTTCATCAGTCGGCATTGAGCCTAAGTCGAAGTGAATAGCATGTTCAGAAAAGTATGCAAGAAAACGCTCAGCAAGCTGGACATAACACACAAAAGGCAGGAAAGATAGGGGAGGTATGAAGGTAAAACACTAAAACTGAACTTTATCTGAGATTACATCTGAATTTTTTCCTTATTTTGTTTTTATTTAGACATTGAACACCAGTAGTTACTCTTGATTGCATCATATCATGAAACATCCTCTGCACCATATAACACCTCATGTAGTAACAAAACAGGCTGAGAAACCCACAGCACAAGTTACCTTCACAAGCCTGAATAATCAGTGATCATTCTACAGACTAAATCAACAGTACAGTTACAAAATATGTTTTTATATTGCCTAAGTTGCCTTTATGAGTTCATGTTTTTGCCTTAAAAAAGTTTCTCCCTCACAGATATAAAAAAAGTGTTTTAAAAGTCCACAACCTCCAAATTACCAGAAGATGACTAAACTGACCTGTGTAATCCCAAACTGACTTACATAATCACATTCTGAGGGAGCAGTTACGTTAAAATGAAGCAATTAGCGTGTTTTCATTTTACCACTGGCAGTGAGAGCAGCAGGTACTGGTAATATTTTTTTCCCCTGAGGTTCTGGCAGCATCATGTTCATCATCGCACACTGTAAACATGTTGTTTCTGCCCTCAGAGTGCGGTCAGGTCATTCAGCTGGATCAATTGGTTTTGTATTTTATTTATTTATTTTTTTTACAGCTTTACTGTAATTCTGACAAAAAACGTGTTTCTTGTGTCGATAACAGTTCACGTCCAGGTGAGTTATGTTGACTGCCCCTGTCTTTATTTTCAGGGTACCTCGGGTACACCAGTGGCTTCTCCCTCAGCTGCATGGTGTTCTTCCTCTCTGCAGTAAGTTGGTTCAGTTCTCGCTTGTTATCACAGTCACTTTTCACAGAGAGCCTGATTTATTCTGGCATTTTATCCTGGGAACGGGGCACCAACACCCCCGCTGACTGGAAAAACCACACAGAGACAAAATAATTAGAGGCAAAGCCACCCTAGTGAGATTATAAAGTTGTTTTCCGATCTTGTTCTTGATGGATTTACTTTTACTCACCGTGTCCCATCACTGTTAGGTCATTTGATTGCTAATGTCTTACTTTTCTCTTGCGTTTTTTCCCACACCACTCTGCAGGTTATCTACAAGAAGTTTCAGATTCCTTGCCCCTTTGAAGAGTTCTCAGTGAACAGCACCGTGGAGCATCACGGCCTGAATGTATCTACCCACGTCCATGAATACACTAACGGTTTGATTCACGAAGACGATGACTCCCACTGCGGCCCACGCATGTTCACCGTTAACTCACGGGTGGGTGGATGAAGTAAAAATATATAACAGTCTGCTTTACTGGACAGATTTTGACCACTGCTCTAAAGGAAGATCAAGTTTTCTTCCACTGCTAAAATCTAACAGAACTGTATGTGTTCACAGACAGCATACACCATCCCCATCTTGGCTTTTGCTTTTGTTTGCCACCCTGAAGTCCTGCCCATTTACACCGAGCTCCGCAAGTGAGTCGCTCCTCCGTGAGCCTGTGATACTGGATAACATGTCTGTGCAGAATGTAGCAGGCGTGACTTTCAAATCTCTGATTTCAGTCCAACGCAGAAGAAGATGCAAAAGGTGTCCAACCTCTCCATTTTTGTCATGTACACCATGTACTTTCTGGCAGCGCTCTTTGGCTACCTGACCTTTTACGGTGAGAGCAGCCGTCCCTGGAACTTCTTGTTTGTCTTTAGCATGAAAGCGCAAATGCCAAAATTAAATCGTAAATCTTACTGCTTAATAAAAATAAAGAAGTACGGTGGGGATTAAAAAAAGAACTAAATAAAAACCACAAAACAATTAATGTACTTGAAGAGACCCTGATGATAAAAACTTTAATTACTGTACCTATGCTTTGCTACCAAAGAAGATGTGGTATTGAAGTGAATTGAAGCAAATGTTGAAATGCTAAAAAAAAAAAGTATGTTTGTATCAAAATACTCAAAGAGCAAAGAAAATAAAAATACTATTTTTTTAAAAGGTTCTCTAGGGCAGGCGTCTTCGACCTTTTATATGTCAGACCAGTTTCACGAGATATATATACGAGATAACTTTCCCACCGAGTACTGGGAAAAAGAATTTCTCCAGCAATGTTTTATTTTTGTTGTTTTTTTTCCCTGCTAAGGTTAGTTTCTAGGTTTTCTACTAAATACAATTGCGACTGAGTTAGGAGCAGGGAGAAAACGTGAGCTAAAGTGATCATTTTTAGAAATAAAATAACATCCATCTGGTTTCTTTACCCGCGTTTCCCTTTCAGGGTCACAGGGAGCTGGTACTTATCTCCAGTGGCCACTGTGTGCCAAGCGGGGTGCACCCTGGACAGGATGCAAGTCCATCACAGGGACACACGGAGACAAATGAGACAAACAAACATTCATGCTCTCACCGTAGGGCAATTTAGTATTAGCATTGAACCAAACATGTTTTTAGTCTGTGGGAGGAAACCAGAGTACCCAGAGGAAATACAAGCCTGCATGAGACAGGAAGCAAACCTGTAACCTTTTGCTATGAGGCGACAGTGTTTTCGAGTACCAAATGATCCATATTGGTACAGATCCATGACCTGTTGGTTGTACACCCCTGCTCTAGAAACTTTCCCCTGAATTTGCAATCAGTTGTTATTGTTGATGTATGATTTTCCTTTTCTCTAAAGTAAAAAACATGTATTAAATGATGTGCAGTGTTTGGTTATACAGAGTCTAAGCTCCCTCTTGTGGTGACTTTTTGCTACCAAATATCTGTCCAGTCCAGTGTTTGAAGATGATGCCATGTTTCGATGCCTTATTGTTTTTTTTTTTTAATATTCCAACAGAAAACGTGGAGCCTGAGCTGCTTCATACTTACAGCCGCATCGATCCTTATGACACTTTGATCCTGTGTGTTCGAGTGGCTGTTCTCACTGCTGTGACTCTGACCGTCCCCATCGTGTTGTTCCCAGTAAGTCAGACACATTCTTATCACTTTGAAGTTCTGTGTGTGTTATATTTATGTCTGCTATAAAATAAATGAAACGAATTGCGTTTGTAGGTGCGGAGAGCCATTCAAGAGATGATATTTCCCTCCAAGTCCTTCAACTGGATTCGCCACATCGTCATTGCTCTCATTCTGCTTACGTTCATCAACATGCTGGTGATATTTGCCCCCAACATTCTGGACATCTTTGGAATTATTGGTTCGTACAAATTAAAAACGTCCACATCATTGTTAACGTTAGACATTTTCCTAAAGTTTATAAGTTGTATGTCAAAAAAGAGCATCCCAAGAAGAAAGTAAAAACTGGAGGATATTCAAAAACACGAACCGCACCTCTCCTATTTATCATGTCCTGATTTTTGGCTGTAGTTTGTATTGAAATATTATGGATTACTTATTCTGTCTCCATTTGCAGGCTGAATCCGCCCACTTCATGTCATACTGATCACATGTTGTGTTTCAGACTTTTTAAGCTACTGACCCACATGGTTAAGCAAACACACATGCACACACACAAGCTAATACACTTGAACACAAAACGTGTTTGCTTGTGGAAAACGTGACAGCTTGGGTCAATATTATTATCACGGTTTGTCCTCAGGGGAGAGGCCACATTTCGCAGGTCAGAGGTGAAAGTTGAAAGCAGCGATATGACGACTGTTTTCAAAGCAGCCATTCATGCTTCAGCAAACGGGAAAATGCTCGGAACTCATTTTGGATTCCTTGATAGAAAGCATTTTGCTCGCCACCTTGTATGCTAAAGTAAACACAAACTTTTGTGATGGCTGAGATTAATTAGTTGTGGGAGCTATCGTTAATCAGGTTGACTCCAAAAGTTAATCAGATGTGCACCTAATGACACTTAGCAGGGATTTTATTATAAGATATTTTGTTAAACACAAATAAAGAGTCACAGTCAGTTACGTGATCACCCGCTCTTCATGGTGGTGGGTGTTAAGGAGATAATGCAAAATATCTTATCAAATAGTTTTGAGCTGCGTTTGTGTTGGTTTTAGCAAAGATGTATTTTTTTTATTGACAACATTAAAAAATAATGTATAAAGTAATAAAACAGAACATGCAAATTGCAATTTTTGTAGTAATCTTGTCTTAGATTATGCATATGCCACAAACAGAACATATTTTAAAGCAAAATAAAAATGCATCCTTGTGTGTTTTAGGTGCCACGTCTGCTCCATGCCTCATTTTCATCTTCCCTGCTGTTTTCTACATCCGCATCGTTCCCAAAGACGATGAACCCTTGAACTCAATTCCCAAAATATTGGTGAGGCATTCAGATTTTTGTCCTTTTTTTTAAAACCAACAACAAGGAGAGAACAATCCAGTTCCTTATGATTAATTAAACCTCTGGTGTCTTTTTGTCCCATCCTCCTCAGGCCTTTTGTTTTGCTGCTTTGGGTGTTTCCTTCATGGTGATGAGTCTGAGCTTCATTATCGTGGACTGGACAACAGGGAGCAGCCATGCTGTAGGAGGTCACTAATTGCTGCTCTAATGCCTTTGTGTGGTTTTCAGATTTGGATGTTAGGTTCAATGTGGAAGTAGAACAAACTACATGGCTCTCCAGCACAGAGCCTGGGTTTTTGCCACAATGCACAATAAACCGTAAATTATCTTTTAACTGTAACTTAAACAGCTGAATGAATTGCTTTCTTGTTTTCACTTTTAAAATATATTTTCCTGTAATGCACAGCAATTAAAATGCATTTAATTTCAAATAACTGTAAACAAAAGTACAACGAAGTCCGCTTGTGACGCTGAAATAGTCCTTTTCTGCTGTTGGGTTTTAATTACTCTCAAACTGCTGCAGCTGGTACTGTACATACATATAAAGGCATTTAGTTATTTTTAACGAGACGCACAAACAATGCAGTCAGATGATCTTGCATGGAATCAGCATCAGTCTGAACTGTCCATCATCATCATCAACATCATCATCATTGTGTGTAGAATAAGTCATAAAGTGATTTGAGAATGCAGGAGACAATTTATGGGTCTGTAAGCTTTTAAACCGTAGTGCCTTTCGCTGTTTTGGAGTGGCTCACAAACATGCAGTAGTGTATATTTATTTAGATAACTGTCTTTTAATTTCAAGCAAACTTTATTTAACTAAGGAACACCAAGGTAATCAGTTCACTGTTTTTCATGTAATTGCTTTTATAAAGTCAAATCAATGGGAAAAAGTGTCAAAGGCTGACAGTATTGAGGCTACAAGCTTGATGAAATGATTATTTCTTTCTAAAAAAAAACACTTTAGCCAAAACAATCTGTAATTTAAATAAAGCAGGTGTAGATTATGTTGTCGTATTTAAAACATTTTCTTCTTCTTATTATTATTCCTTCTGGATTTTTAGAATCACATTGTTAACACTGGTATTAGTAAAAAGAGATGATCAAATTTATTTTAAAGATTCAAAAAAACAAAATTGAAATCCACATCTGAAGCTCACCGCTTAGTATCAAATGTTTTTCCACATTTTTTCCCCCCAAAATTTTCCAACTACTCCTTTTTCTGTCTTTACCCAGGTTACTAAAAATTTAGGAACAAAAGTTTGAGCAATATACATATTTTAAACCATTAAAAACCAAAACATTGTTAATAGTTTATTACTACAAATTAAAACTTTTTATTATATTTCTTAATAGTGCCTGTTGAAACAATACAGTTTCTGCTGCAGCGTTTTATTTGTTCATCTGTACTGGTTTGAAGTCTTTTTTGTTTCCTGTTTAAAACTCTGGATGATGTTTTCTGCAGTAAACTGCACAGGACCTGATTTTGTTTCCAGTGTTGCTGTGTGTAGCTATTATGTTTATGAACTGTACATTTTAACAACTTGTAGTGAAGTGTTTAAAAGTACAAGTTTCTGCTGTAGAAGGGATCTGACATGAACTGAAGATTTAAGTATTACTAATATGAAGCRTCAACATGATGATTTTAACATATARGCATGCAAAACAAAAACCTTCAAGTTTTTTTTTCTAATTCTTTAGGATAATTTTGAGGAATAAAAACACTAACAATATGCATGATGTACATATACTTCACATTTTCTTAAACTATCAACCAAAAAAACTCTATTCTTATATAATAAAGCAGAGTTTTCTTATTTGTAGGGTTGCCAACTTTCAGAAACTGGAAAAAATAAAATAAAATAAAAGTACTGAGTGGACAGGTTGGTGCAAAGGGACATGGGGCTTTTTTGTCTTTATATTTAGTAAGTAAGTAAAGTTTTAATTTAGCTGTTTCAAGAGTGAGTCAAGAAATATGCAACAGCTGAACATTTCCTAAAAATACAGGTTTATGTCAGTAGAAATAAAAATAAGAACCAGTGCCAGTTTTACTACTTTTAGCTTATACTGTAGCTATTCTACTGCTACTTTTATTATTAGCTTTTGTTTGGGTCCTTTAAAGCTTTTTCTACTTTTAGATAATAAATGTTTTGATTCTTTTAGTTAGGTGTTGGCTACTTTTAGCTAACCTTTTGACACATTTAGCTTTTAGCTATAGCCTTCCAGCTATTTTATTTTCTACATTTAGGCAGCATTAAGTACATCTAGCTTGCCTTTTTTTTACTTTTCTTGCTTTTTCAGCACTCAGCTTTACACTTTCCCACAAAATGTATGTTGTCTAATTTCTGTTCATAATATAAAAACTGACAAATTTACACTAAATATAAAGCTGCCTGTTTAATAGACAAAAA